TTTTAAAAGAATGTCTTCGTCATACTACGACTTGGCGGGTTCGTTGAAAGCTTGGAATGTATAAAGAAAAGAATTTGTTTTTAAATCATAAAGGAAAGAATGTAATACTACATGAGAAAGAACTTCATCAAGAAAATACCAGAATACATCAGGGATATCGTTCAGACACCATCAACTGCTCTTGAATGTGACCGCTGTTCACAGTGCAAAAATATGATACCTTACTTCAGCAATACGTCATGGACGTTCGTTCCCATGATAAATGTTAAAATATAAACGGGCAATATCGTTTTCTCACATCTTATCATATTTCATAGATTCCATTCCACAGAGAAATACAGGGGCGGTGGGGTAGCCTAGTGGTTAAAGCGTTCGCTCGTCACGCCAAACACCCGGGTTCGATTGTACCCCACGTGGGTATAATGTGTGAAGCCCATTTGTGGTGTCCCTCACCATGATATTGCTGGAATATTGCTAAAAGCGGCGTAAAACCAAACTCACTCACACAGAGAGAGAAAAAAAAACATCATTTCCATACGTGATGCCTCAGCTGTTGCTGCACTTAATCGTATTCAGCTGAACTTGAATGTTTCAAGTGAACCACAGTGAACCGATGGTATTTTACAACAATGTCCAGCTCACCTTTGCATAACGAGTACATTCTGTATCCACTGTCGACATTATAGCTGGCACTTGACGGGTCTGTGAACGTTGTATTGTATGCTACACAGACCCCCGAGTTTGGGTTGTAGCCACACATCTCAGACAGGTCATATTTGCCACACTGGGCAACACACTCAGCTCGAGTGGTTGTATTCTGGTCCGTCCACATCACATTGTCGGTCACTCTCCTGTCTTCAAACCCGGACAAGGCGTGGACATCACATTTCCCACAGCTCCCATCAGCACTGACCACAGTTGTCCAAACTAAAGCTACACACAACGTTGGCCACATTTTGACGTTATGTTACCTTTCCGAAAAGCTCAACTTTGCAGAATTTGCAGTGATTTCTAGTGATGAATTGCTCTTAAGAACCTTATTTCTGGAGACTATGAAAGGTGTACCTTCCTGTCAAACTCACCGCTGGGTTTTGAAGCTTATGCTGAGTACCGAAATGTTTATATTCATTCATATACAACTCACAAACATAGTGAACACACATTAGGGTCATGTCAATATCTTTGCAATGTGCATTGTGGACAAAGCACAATTAGTGCTTCATCACGATTATATCGATCTTCCGTGTAGGTCCAATCTATATCTACTGGTCTATCAAGACAACCTACTGTTCCTCTTTGATTCAAAGTTTATCTGCAATTCCACAGCCGTATGTGTCCATTATTTATGTGATCAATAACGATAGTTAATCGATGTTGATTGAAAATATTCATCACGAATTATGTAATGATAATTTATTGCCAGTGTCTACAGAACATTTACTGGTGTGATTTAAGGAAGAAATTCCACTTTTATAGTACTTCTGTCAACACAGTTAGGTGAAATGCTTCTCAGGAAGAATTTGATGATTTAAACATATTAGAGCAGATGAAATTGTTAATTACATTCCTTGCCCATTTATGTGATTGGGCACTGGCTGGTTTTGCCCTATTTTAAAGTTTAATTAGAAAGTTATTATATTTTTTGTTGAACGCCGCACTCAGCAATATTCCAGCGGCGGTCTGTAAATAATGGAATCTGGACCAGACAATCCAGTGATCAACATCATGAGCATCGATCTACGCAACTGGGATATGATGACATGTGTCAACAAAGAAAGAAACATAATAACACACACATTCAATGTATTTAATGACACACACACTCTATGCTGTTATATATTGTTCGCGTGATGTCTTACATGTGAGCAGACGACATTTATTAGTCAAAATCAAGTTTTTCCTCAAATTGTTCCATCAGGAAGTTTATTTGTTGTTGCTCGGCAATATTCGTTCTATGTGATGGCGGTCTGTAAATGCCCGTGTCTGGACCAGACCATCCAATGATGAATGAAGTAATCATGAGCAACGATCTTCGCAGTTGCCAGAACTCAATCTTGACAAGTACATCATAGATTAATATATTCAGCCATTTTACCATATGACTTGTTTTTAGATAACTTGTCCCCATTGCAGACACTGTGCACTAAGTTAAATATCATGCATCAATGCATAAATGTTGTTTTTTAACGCCGCACTCAGCAATATTGCAGCTATAAGGCGGCGGTCTATAAATAATCAAGTCTGAACCAGACAATCTAGTGATCAACAGCATGAGCATCGATCGATACAATGACAGAGTCAACCGAGTCAGTGAGTCTGACCACCCGATCCCGCTAGTCGACTCTTACGACAAGCATGGGTTACTGAAGACCAATTCTGTAGAACCCAAATCTTCACGGGTCCGAACTCAGCTTTGACAAGTGTACCTAGATACACAGAACTTTATTAGTTTCCGAGAAAACGTGTTCCCATCTCACACAGTAAGTTAAAAAACATGGACTCTTGGTCATAATACTAGTCAAGACACCAATTTTCGACATCTTTTGAGATCGTAACCAGTAAAAACAATAAGCATTTTTTTATTTCTCAAAGAATTAAAACAGTTTTTTGAAAGCTTCACCTCAATTCAAGGGACCAGAGCTCATGAGAAATGCAAGCAGCCAATTCTGTTTCCTCTTGTTCATGTCCTAGAGTTATTATTAGTGGTTAAAAGCGTTAGCCCGTTACTCCCAAGATCAAGGTTCGATTCCCTAATCCAACGTTTTTATCTTGTCCTGATGTCCACTTGGCATTGCTGTACATAACAATGTCATCGATATCCACCAATGGCAAGTACTTGTGTTGAAAAAGTCACCTAGTAATTAAGGTACTGTTTTAGATATTTTAATCCTTCACTGTTCATACATTTCATTACTACTGTATTAGGTTTCACTGACCAAACATGCAGATAAAAGTATCGTTTTCCCTTCATACATACCTCATTGCTTCTGTATTAGGTTTCACTGATCAAACATGCAGATAAAAGTATCGTTTTCCCTTCATACAAACCTCATTGCTTCTGTATTAGGGTTCACTGATCAAACATGCAGATAAAAGTATCGTTTTCCCTTCATACATACCTCATTGCTTCTGCATTAGGTTTCACTGATCAAACATGCAGATAAAAGTATCGTTTTCCCTTCATACATACCTCATTACTTCTGTACTAGGTTTCACTGATCAAACATGCAGATAAAAGTATCGTTTTCCCTTCATACATACCTCATTGCTTCTGTATTAGGTTTCACTGATCAAACTTACAGATAAAAGTATCGTTTTCCTTCATACATACCTCATTGCTTCTGTATTAGGTTTCACTGATCAAACATGCAGATAAAAGTATCGGTTTCCCTTGATACATACCTCATTGCTTCTGTATTAGGTTTCACTGATAAAACATGCAGATAAAAGTATCGTTTTCCCTTCATACATACCTCATTGCTTCTGTATTAGGTTTCACTGATCAAACATGCAGATAAAAGTATCGTTTTCCCTTCATACATACCTCATTGCTTCTGTATTAGGTTTCACTGATCAAACTTACAGATAAAAGTATTGGTTTCCCTTCATACATATCTCATTGCTTCTGTTCTAGGTTTCACTGATCAAACGTACAGATAAAAGTATCGTTTTCCCTTCATACATACCTCACTGCTTCTGTACTAGGTTTCATGTTCTATAACATCACCTCTGATATACTATAAAACTGAACTTGTAAATTATATGTAAGTAACTAAACTAAGCTGAGTTCTGCTTTTCAGTCTTTGATGGTTTGCAGGGTTATAAGTATGGGTTATGCACAACATTGCATGATGGGTGATGCTTATTTTGCATATGAAACAATGTTTTCTTGACCTCTATACTATACCATTTAAACTCAAAGATACAAAAATCCCCAGTTGAGATAAAGCTAAGAACAATCACAGATATGGAATTGTTGTTGACACAGAAACTCGAACAATATGCCATTAAAAACAGTTCACCACTTAACCTATTTGTGTACCAACTTTGGTGAAGACATATTGTACATTTTCCTGCTCTGGATATGAGCACAGCCGCAAGTTCATGTATAAGTCAAATTTGTTGCCATGGACACTGATAAAATGTCCCCCCCCCCCCCTGAATGCCCAGATCTCCACGTGTCCTATCCATATGCCAACTTTAGTGAAGAAATATTGAATAAGTCAGATTTAAGCTCGGTCCAGGAAATGAGCACTACTTCAGTTAGGATCCAAAGTCAAACTTGTTGCCATGGAAACTGGAGAAATGCCTTTTTCTAAAGCCCTCAACTATCACAAGGTGCCAGATCTCTACTAGACCTATTTATGTGATAACTTTGGTGAAGAAATAATGTACAGTTTTTGCGATCTGTCCATGAAATGAACACTACCGTAGTTACCAGCAAAAGTAAAAAATGTTGTCATGGAAACTCGAAAACTATAGGGCTATGTGAATGTTTAATGTTTTTTTCTTGAAATTGCAAGATGTTGGTTCGTTCCATAGATTTGAAATTTCAACTTACATCACTTGGAATAAGACAAAACACAACAAACCAACAACAAAAATAACCCTAAATTGCTTCCATACTTAATGCTAGAAGGTGGTATATTCTCCCCATTATCGTAATTGTCATACACAGGATGGAGAAGTTATCACAACCGATATAAAAATACTGTTATGATCGATCCGTCGATTAATTTTGTTGGGTCTCTAAAGTCAAAGACCTATCCACAAAGACAACTATTTCCCGTGGTTTCTAAAGAGACTGATATAAGAAATAATGCTGCTGGAATTAACTTTCTTCCCTGCGATGCCAGTTGGTACACTTTTGGAACCTTGACAAGATAGTACTTATCGGTCAAACTATCGATCACTTTCATTCATCAGTTGTTTTTGCATAAGCCCGACCTACAGTCGAGTAGCATGGAACTTAGATACCAATAATAAATTACCTAATCTATAATGTGGTTTCTGTATAGCACCATCGATCAGAGTCCTCACAGAATCATTGGTAAATACTGACATTATCAGTGAACAGGATGCAGTGACTATCGTTTTCGAACATGATTAATACGCAAAGGTAGTTCAAACGATTAACGATTCACTTGCATTGATCACTGTCTCAATTCTCTATCCAGGGTTTTAACAGCTGAATAATTTCCAGTTTTAATCAAAACGTTTTATGGTGGTCATTTCCGAATCGGACGCATAAGGGACAACTATGACGTGCGAAGCAATACCTCAAGTCAAAACATTGATTACACAAAAGTCTCGTTTCCTGTTAACTGGGTTCCGTCCTATTGCGCAACTTTGTTCAATAACAAGTCAAGAATTTTGTGACCAATTCATTAAACTGGATACATAAATATTAATCAGTATTATTTGATACATCTAAGCACTTATATATTGCAGCACTATGCTCCTTATAATCCTTGCAAACATGTCGTGCAGCCTGCTCTGTCGTACAGCTAGCACTGACAAACAGAAACCTGGAAATCGTGGAAATCTCAAACGAGGCTCTGCCGCTAGAAAAGTTTGGCGGTCTGGTACGGACTTGGTGTTATATCAATCGCATTGTGTGTTACAGAACTACGCCGAATAAGCGCCATAAAACACACAACAGGTGTAACCAGTTAGCCAGATGCATTGTGAATCATTTTACGACCTCATCAAACGGGCAGTCTGTGACGTCTTAGTTAAGGTCATGCTGCCTACACCTCGCCATAAAATCCAGAAATACGATGTTATTAAAGTTTAGAATTACAATTCATTTACAAATACCATTTTCTTACGAAACACGAAATTGAAATTCAGTGTAACCATAGCTGTTTGTGATGTCTATTTTCACTTTAACACGAGAAAATTCGGATCGGCTGAAAAGTAGGTCATTGTCTGAATAGGTTAATAAGACTCGGTATGTTTCGGTTTGATTTTCCAGATGAACATTTACTTTTGCATGTGTTTTCCCAAGGGTGACTCTGATGGAGCAGGATACGCTCAACCTTTCGCAAACACCCGGTGTCGTCGCTATTAGATAGGCATGTATTGAACTGGTGACTTTAGTTTTAAGGCAAGGGCTTGATTAAATATATGTTTTGCGTTTCCAAGGCAAATGAAGATAGGCATCGTTTTTAGGCATAACATAAAACCAGTTCGTTGAATCTTTCTGAAACCTGGAATATATAACAACCTTTTTGATGATCAGTTGTTGTCAAACTTCTTAGAGGATTTACGACACTCGATGCTTGAAAGACCTGAATACAGTGCCACACTAAATGAAAACCTGTGCCGTGATGTCCAAATGCATTTGGGAATAGTATATTCATGTCTTACCCCAGTGGACCCAAATATTGTAATACAAATTTAACACATTTATTACGTTTGACAAACTGTTGCAGGACTGACTGACTGAGTATGGTTTTACGCCGTTTTTAGCAATATTCCAGCAATATCACGGCGGGGGACACCAGAAATGGGCTTCACAAATTGTACCCATGTGGGGAATCGAACCCGGGCCTTCGGCGTGACGAGCGAACGCTTTAACCACTAGGCTACCCCACCACACCGTTGCAGGAATGGAAGGAGGTTAAAACATTAAATTCAATAAAAGTTTCATTACGATAAAAGAAAAACCCGAAATAATTTCTTTACCCCTTTGTTTATATTAAAAAAGCTACACATCCTCTATACATCGATTACAAGTTCTTGTCAATAAACCCGTGAAGGTCCGGGTTAGAATATTGGCCTTCAGTAACCCATGCTTGTCGTAAGAGGAGACTAACGGGATCGGGTGGTCAGGCTCGCTAACTTGGTTGGCACATGTCATCGGTTCCCAATTGCGCAGATGGATGCTCATGCTGTTGATCACTGGATTGTCTGGTCCAGACTCGATTATTTACAGACCACCGCCATATATCTGGAATATTGCTGAGTGCGGTGTAAAACTCAACTCACTCACTCACTCTTGTCAATAATATTTGCATATTTCAGTTCAGTATGTGTGATGATCTATAAGTATTTGAAACGGACATAAAAATGTTCTCAAACCCTTGTTAATAACAGGAGGTTTCCAAACATTTTAATGGCTCTTCCACCACCCCAGCAGCAGGGCTTTGACGGAGATCGTGGCTAGTACTGCAGAAGCATAAGAAGTTCTTTTGAAACTGATTACAATATATACCCTAAATCATTACGTTAGTAATTTAGTGTTAGCAAGAGGAGGTTGAAACGGAGTCCGATCGTTTAATAGACATGCATTGAACTGGTGCATTTTGCTTTCAGGAAAGTACTTGATTTAATATTGGTTTTGTGTTTCCAAGGTAACACGTTTGACCATAGGAATAGTTTTGAAGCATAACTAGTTGGTTTATGTCTTTTGTAACTGTGCATACATACATATTAAGCCACCGCTGAACTGGTCCCTTTTGATGACCAGTTGTTGCCAAACATCTTTGCAACACGATGCTGGAAAGATGTTATTATTTCGGGTGCCTGACAAGAAATTAAACGCGTGCGTTTGTCTCATTTACCAACGGACTGGACTGTTTGGGATGAGTACAAGAAATTGGCGATACTGTTGTGAAGAGTCAGCTTGTAACTGGGACAAATGATCATGTCTATGACGACGATGACGTTATAATAGTTGTCCCCTATTTGAAAAGCATATCCTCAGAACGACAGATGATCTGGGTTTGCAAAGGTTTTGATGGAATGGTAACATAAATGACCCGAATACAGTGACACACTGGATGGCCGTTATTGCCCTGTTGTGGATATGAATGGCTAAGTTATTTTTTATCCCAGTTTTCCTTGAACCAAAACAATTTCAAGGCACTGAGTTCCTTTGACAAGCTTTTGCAATAACCATGGATGGTGTCTATGAAAACAAACAGTTCTTTCAAGTTTCGATTAGTTAAAATGTTACCCGAAATGCTTTCTTTGCCCCTCTGGTTATATATAAAAGAGGGGCGGTGGGGTAGCCTAATGGTTAAAGCGTCACACTGAAGAACCTGTTCGATTCCCCACATGGGCACAATGTGTGAAGCCCATTTCTGGTGTCCCCTGCCGTGATATTGCTGGAATATTGCTAAAAGCGACGTAAAACCATACTCAGACAGGCAGTATATGTAAAAGCTACACATTTCCTTAACGCTGATAGAAGTTGTTTTTAACAATATTTACATCTTTGCGTTCAGTATCTCTGAGGATGTATGTAAGTATTTGAAACGGACATAAAATGTTTTCAAAACATATTAAATACAAAATACAGGTAGTTTTCAAATGGTTCTTCAAGCATTTCAGCGCCAGGCCTTTGGCAATCATTAGTGTCGTGGTTTGCAATGTAGAAACGGAAGTTATAGATTGCGTTGATACTGACTACATAATACCGCTGAATGAGTACGTCAGTAATTAAGTGTTAGTCGAAGAAGGGTGAAACGGGGAGTGTATCGTTTAACACACGTATCAGTATATTCACCAAGCGTTGTGAGTTAGTGACTTATACTATATGTTAGCAGTGTCAACCCATCGGTGCAATCGGTCTTCCCATGCTTGTCGTAAAAGGCAACTAAAGAGATAGGGTGGTCAGAGTCGCTGACTTGGTTGACACATGTCATCGTATCCCAATATTGCGTAGATCGATGTTCATTATGTTGATCACTGGATAGTCTGGTTCGGACTCGAATATTTACAGACCGCCGCCATATAGCTGGTATACTGCTGAGAGAGGTGTTAAACAACAAACAAACAAACAATACCCATCGTTGCAGAATCGCGTTTGTTTTCATCTTTTCTATGAATATTATTATCATCAGCTTGAGCAGTGAAAGTCGGACCGCACCTTGAAAGGCCATCAACCACCATGAATCCTACCAATGAATGTCTGAAAGGATTAATTCCGTGTACCCGTGCGCCTTTCCCCTTCCCCTCATGTAAGAATGTGTGAGCAAAGTTTTACGCAATATTCCAGCAATATCACGACACGCTAAACCCATGTGGGGAATCGAACCCGGGTCTTCGGCGTGACGAGCGGACGTTTTAACCAGTAGGCTACCCCACCGCCACTTATGTAAAAATCCCCTTCTGAAGCATATACGACGGCTTATGAATAGGCGCTGAGTTTTGTGACCCTTTGACTTAAATAACCGTCAGCTGCAGGCGTCTATTTACAGTACATATCTAATAGCAAGACGTTACAAAAACGTCTAATCAACAATCACTTAAACATATTAGAGACATACCGTCGGTAACATTTTAGAATTAACTTTCTATGGACTCATTAATATCTGACAGACTTATTTCGATGGGGAGTATTGATTCAGAACCAGTCAATGTATGTTAGACGTAGTTAAATGAGACCTTTATGTATGTGTATCGGTACCCATTAATAAAATATGGTTTGATCATTGTTGTGAAAAGAATAGGAGGGTGTGGGGATATAGAAACGGGATTTTGTTTTGATGCCGTTTAGTTCATAACTCAAGCCGGTCAATATTTCACAAGGATGTACACAACAATCATTCTCTAAACTGACGCTTTATGCTTCTCGGACATATTTGAAAATTCCATTTTTGCGGTGTTCAGGTCAACAGCCTGGTCACGGCTTCCAATGAGTACATATGAAAACTAGTAGTAAGAAAAGAAAAGTATTAATTGGACTTTGATTCAGATAATGGGGAGGATTTTAATGAAATATGTTCTATTCATGAGCTCCATGTTGCACTTGATCAAGCTCACCACGTTGCTTCGGTAACATATGTAATCAACTCCTGAAACACTTACTAGAATCATGCTTAGAAATTTTTAATTATTATTGATTACATTTGGACGTCTGGAAAATTTCCTAATACACTATAATTGTCCCCATCCCTAAACCGACCCTTCTTCTTATCGACCAAATTTCATTAACAAGCTGCGTTTGGAAAACCATGAAACGCATGGTAGATAATCGACTAGTTTGGTACTGAGAAATCAATAACCTAATAATGCCATAATTGATAAACAACACGCAGTGTCTATACTTTTGGATCTTGAAAAAGAATACTGTATTTACAAAATAAGATTTACATAACGTTTGCCTGAATTTATATTCAAGTTTTTAAATGATAGGCAAGTTCGCGTTGGCTCCCCAGTCGCATCACTATAATCAGGATCTTGTCTGTCACATTGTTTAATATCAAGATAAAGGATTTTATAAAAGTTTTGAAATGTCTCAGTTGATGGATTACTTTTTGTGGATGATTTTAGCATTTTTATCGTGGTAAAAACATGCATACTATTTAAAGGAAACTACATTTGTATTCAAATAGATCTAGTAGATGGTGTCTTGAAAATGGTTTTTAAAACCCACAACCAACTGCTTTCATTTTTGTAGAAAATACAAGCCACATGAGGTCCCATTGACCATCACTTAACCTTTTTATTGCACATAATTATTTAAAGAATACATATCTGAAGGCACTGGATTTAATTCAAATTCCAAATGGGGAGGACATAGAAAACTCCTCCTCCAACTGTACAGACCGCTCATCCGCACTAATCTTCATTACGACTCCATCATTTATGGTGGAATTTGTAAACGCAATTAAAATCCAGATTCAATTCCTGACCAAGGCCTCAGGATTTGCCTTGGAGCATTTAGGACTTGTCCAATTCAAAGTATATATGTGGAGACTGATGAGCCATCTCTTACACACAACGTCGAATTAACTTGTCTTTGCAGCATATTTATAAACTACACTCTACTAAATCTAATCCAGGCTACAGCTGTGTACTTAATCCTCTCTATGAACACATTACAATACAACAGAATATCTTTTACTCCTCCCCTTGGAATACCACTACAATCTGACATTTTCTGCTCCTAAAACAGATCTGTTACATAAAGCCCTCACTCATCTGTTGTCTCCACCACCATGGCAATTTATAAAGCCAAGCGTGGAGTTAACATAAATTTCATTCAATAAATCTGAAACAAAATCAACGCATACATCAACTTAAGCATAATCAATTAGGACACACATATGATACTTACATGTTTACAGATGGATCCAAGGATCGTGGGGCAGTAGCCAGCTCCATCGCCATTGGATCCAGGACTATTTCATCCAGTTTAGCAGATAAGTGCTCCCGTGGTGATCTACCTTCAGGTGTAGGCGATCTGTAGCCCATTATTATATTTGACTGTCGTCCACCGTAAAATAATTTCAAGGTTGCTAGTTTTACATAGATATCTTACATGTTCCAGCTCTTGTACTGTTCTTGGTGTATATTTTACAGTCAACCTGTCAGACCAGTCATTTGACCAAATGACTGAATATTTCAGCCATTTGGTCAAATTACTAAAATGAGGATGCGTGGGACATTCTGGGTGTGGTCGATTTGTGCCCAGAGAAACTCTTAACTTTATCAGAAGTCAACACTGAAACTTCAGTATTCCTTCGTATTGCTGTTGGAGCCGAGTCTTTATCGGGAGGCCAGGGTTTCGTCAAGTGTAACTGTGCTGGTAGCAAGAGATGTGGGACCAAGAAATGCAAATGCTTCAAAAACAATCTTCTGTGCAACAGACGGTGTCATTCAAGTCTCACTTTTCCAAACAAGTAATGCAAAACTCTATTGTTGAAACTGGATAAATAAAGTGTTCACTTCATTTTGTTGTGTTTTATTTTTTAACCGAAATGATTTAGTCATTTGGTCAAATGACTGAGAATTTTTGTCTTTTGACCAAATGACTGATCGTTACAGTCATTTGACCAAATGACCGGTTTGACAGATTGACTGTAACATATATAATTCAGCTTTATGTATCATGAATGTATAACATGTTTTAATCACTATACAGGGGACCGTTCATAATTTATGGCAAGGGAGGGTGATGATGGTTTTAAGAGGGGGTCACCAATTTTGTTCTGGGGAGGTGGGGGGTGGGAGCGTCAATTTTGTACACATGTACTGGGGGTCGGCAATTTTGTACATAAAAATGTTAAAAAATTATGCTTAAAAATTATGGGGAGGGTGAGTGTAATTGATTTTGTACATGATATGCAAGGGCATTCGATTAACTGGTTGGCACAGAATATTAATTTGTATTGTGGATATACTATTGCCAGTAGTGATGTTACTTATACAGAGTGCTGTTGTATTATTAGCATGAAAGGTTAACAAGGTATTATTATAATTTGCATGACGTCAAATAACAAGATCTATAGTCAAATAGTCTTATTTGGTTTCCTGAGTGAACACATTTTACCTTTTGTAGAACACCAGTGTCTTGATCCCTTAAAACAACACCTCTGTCACAACATCAAACATCAAAGGATTTTTACCTCGACCCAAAGGTCTAACTTACGGGACTACCCCCACTCCCCCTCATATACATCAGTTATCAAGCAGACAATAAACAGCGCGATGATAATGACGGGTAACATTCTCACAGATACATGTAGTAGTTGAACGGCGTAGTGATAATGACGGGTAGCATTCTCACAGATACATGTAGTAGTTGAACGGCGTAGTGATTATGACGGGTGGCAATCTCACTGATACATGTAGTAGTTGAACGGCGTAGTGATAATGACGGGTAGCATTCTCACTGATACATGTAGTAGTTGAACGGCGTAGTGATAATGACGGGTAACATTCTCACAGATACATGTAGTAGTTGAACGGCGTAGTGATAATGACGGGTAGCATTCTCACAGATACATGTAGTAGTTGAACAGCGTAGTGATAATGACGGGTAGCATTCTCACAGATACATGTAGTAGTTGAACGGCGTAGTGATAATGACGGGTAGCATTCTCACAGATACATGTAGTAGTTGAACGGCGTAGTGATAATGACGGGTAACATTCTCACAGATACATGTAGTAGTTGAACGGCGTAGTGATAATGACGGGTAACATTCTCACAGATACATGTAGTAGTTGAACGGCGTAGTGATAATGACGGGTAACATTCTCACAGATACATGTAGTAGTTGAACGGCGTAGTGATAATGACGGGTAGCATTCTCACAGATACATGTAGCAGTTGAACGGCGTAGTGATAATGACGGATAACATTCTCACAGATACATGTAGTAGTTGAACGGCGTAGTGATAATGACGGGTAGCATTCTCACAGATACATGTAGTAGTTGAACGGCGTAGTGATAATGACGGGTAACATTCTCACAGATACATGTAGTAGTTGAACGGCGTAGTGATAATGACGGGTAACATTCTCACAGATACATGTAGTAGTTGAACGGCGTAGTGATAATGACGGGTAACATTCTCACAGATACATGTAGTAGTTGAACGGCGTAGTGATAATGACGGGTAGCATTCTCACAGATACATGTAGTAGTTGAACGGCGTAGTGATAATGACGGGTAGCATTCCAACAGATAGTAGTTAAATTGTAGTTTGTAGTGTCAGATCCCTTCGGAGGGATATTTTGGAGTTTTATAAAGAAATGTTAGTTTTTGGATGTATCTTCGAGTGATTAGTGGTTGGAAATTGGTCTCATTATAAATTTGATTATGACTCGTACCGTGAACAGCATCGAAAAGAGTTCTAAGCGCATCAAAATTTAGTTTTTCAAGTGTTAGTGCCTTCTGTTTGGTACAATTGTCCCAAATGGGACAACAATAGTCGAAAATAGGCAAAATAAATTGTTTGTATACTGTTTGTAACGTTTTACGTGAGAGATGATATTTAAAACCTCTAAGATACGATATTATACATAAGCTTGTTGAAATGGTTTGAGAGTTATCGAGAGTTCAGCTAGTTGTTATGAATGGTTAATCAAAGATCAATCTAGGCTGGGTTTCCCTAAGGCTCTGTCTTAGGACCCCTATTGTTTATAGTTTATATCAACGACATCGCTGAAGGAATTAACAGCAATATCCGTCTCTTTGCAGATGACACATCACTTTAAGCTATAACATGCTATTACACTTTATGCTATAACATTTTATCGTTACTTCAAGTTTCCATCAAAACCTTGAAATTGCCAATATTTACTCGTTACTTCAAGAATTTTTTCGTTACTTCAATTATATTTTCGTTACTTCCATTATTTTCTCGTTGCTTCGAATATTTTTTCGATGTTTCAATATTTTTCAAAAACAATCTAATTTCAAGTATTTTCTCGTTGCTTCAATTGTCCTTCAAAAACTTGAAATTTCAAGTATTTACTCGTTGGTTCGAGTATTTTGGAAAGTTTTGGAAAGAAAGTTGAAGGAACGTGACAAAGTCAGTCGCCTAACCCGCTCAGCCAGCGCATTTCCACAAGTCGAAGTTGTGGTGGCTGAGTGGGTTAGGCGGCTGACTTTGTGTGCTGGCGATTAGGTGCCTTTTTTCAACCCCCAAAATACTAGAATCTGTACTTTACTAAGAAAGTGTAATCCCCAATATAACATATGTTACATTAATATTGTTAACTGGTCTTCACCATCCAGCAGACAGATGTTGTTTAGCCTTCAAGTATTTCATGGGGCGTTCTATTTATTGAAACAGCATAAACTGTAATTGAATCAAGACTGTGCATAAGGTAATGACTCCCTTGGCAGACATTTCTTGTGGATGTGCAATGGGTTTGGTCGCTTATATTTCTGCATCCTCGATAATCTCCAGGGTATACGTTATGATCAATCTCCACTATACCCTGGATTCATCCTCTGAAAGAGGTAGAAGGAGTTCTTCCATATGTTTTATTAAAGTTTCAGATCTGTCAATTTGTCTGTATTATTTCTCCCAAAATCTGAGTGGCACTGCGAACACACCTTCGCGACTGCAACTGCTATCATTGTTGACACTGGCAAGCTCGGAAGTAACGGCGGCTTAGATCATTGGCTACTATGAGAGTGCGGAGCCAGCAAAGGGAGGTAATAAAATCATCGGGCCATGCTGTGGATGCATCCAGGGTATAGTGGAGATTGATCGTAACGCATACCCTGGAGATTATCGAGGATGATATTTCTGAATATATATACATTATTTTTTGTTTCGTCTTTGAATGTTGATGGAAAAACCCTGTAAATTAAACATAAACAATCACGCCTCACGAGTCTTTATGTACTGAAACGAGTCAGTATTGATTCGTTTCATACTGATTCTTTCTAATTGGAATAGGTTTATTTAACATGCATGCCCATTGTTCACCAAGGGTTCACATGATAAACCTTTTAAGATATCTTTATGCTTGGTAGATGCAGACCGTTGCATCTCTTTCGTGTAGACATCTTACAGATAAACATGTTCACATTAACTGTCTTGGTGGTGAATTACATTATAATTGCTGGAGTTTACAGCACAACTCGGATGTGCTATGTTAAGACATTGGGCGTGTTTGAACACAAGCGAGTGACTGACCATGTAATGTGGACGGAACAGAAGACGGACAGTCTGTTGAAGTGTGTTGCCAGATGCAATCAACATGACCTGGCTATGGCGTGTGGCTACAGCCCAAACAAGGCGGTCTGTGTCGCCTACAGCGCCATGTTGACAGACCCGGCAAGCGTCAGCTACTATGACGACACAGGATACAGAATGTACTCTCTATGTCCAGGTAATTACTTCCCCCTTTTTGATTACCTTTTCCTACAGAGTGCACACTTTGTGTGAACACGTATCCAGGACTTCGGCATGTGTCTAACACTTTATCCACTAAGTAACCTCAAATATGAGAACATGGCAGTGACAATAACTGTTCTATTGAGAATGTCTAATTACGTTTCCAGGCAGTGTGCGAAATAGGCACTGACCCGTTAGCCCGTGGCTAGGAAAATCCAGTCTGGCCAGTAAATCTCCACAATCACTGGCCCGACTGGCTAGTGAATTTTCAGGGGTCATTTTGTAAATATATCGGACTCTTTCACTTGTCAAGGTATAATACACTTTTAAATCATGGTCTGATAAATCATATTAGCAGCTTAAGATCACATATTTGAGCATAAACAAAATATTTCAGACATGTGTTTTCTTATTGGTTTTTGATGGTATTTTACCTTTTTGCAATCTTTCGCTTAGTTTGCACATTCAAATTTCGGGCTAGTGAATTATTTTGTGGGCTAGTAACTTTCAGGCATAGATAGCCCGACTGGCTAGCAAAATGTGGAAACTATTTTACACACTGCTTCCAGGTACAAATAATTCTTGTCCTGTAAAAAAGTTTTAAGACAGAGACATGTCGTGTCATTCACAGTTCATAAACCAGACATCCGTTGATTAATAAATACATTGTAAGTAGGTGCAGGTCTCCTAGATTTGTAAAGAGGCTACCATGACTACAGTACTTTAACACTCTTAACATAGATATCAATACAACCTGTCAAGTGTGTGGAGCATGCCGCGTGTATTGCTGGGTGCGGCGTCAAGCAACAATCAGTTACTTTTTCATGAAAATTGTTTCGGTGCTGGGTGTTACTGATTACTTAAGATATATTTATCAAATATCATCTGTGATTTATTCCTTTTATTTCATCCCTTATTCATCGCCCTTCATCATATACTCTGCAAAACAAGAAACGCAAAAGTAGAAAAGTTGGAAATATATGACGGAGCTTTGCTGATATTCTTACAAAATGAATATCAAATATGAATTGTATGCATCGGGAGTGATTTGTGCGGGAAGAATAAAGTTCGGTCCAAAAGTACGAAAAAGGTGGGAGAAACGCAACCACGTGGGAGGGTGACGGTCAAGCACAACAACATGAAATGGACATGCAACGTGAATTATGAATCATGTGACGGATTTAAATTTATGTGTCTATAAACAATTTTACAGCAATCAAAATGTGAAAAAGTAGCAGGGCACGTAGTCATCCTTACGTTAACCTCTTTGGCCATGTGGAGAAGGCGCCCGACTTCGGATCAGAAGGTCCGTGGTTCGAATCCCAGCACGGGACTCGGACAAAACTGCTCGCTACAAAAACATTCCACGACTGACAAAAGCTCATCGCTTCAAAGCCATCGGCCGACTGCAGTCAGGGAACTCAGCTTCGGTCGAAGCCAGTTTTTGTCCACGTATCGCCAAGCACCATTGCAACACTTTGGTACTGTTATCAGACGTAGGGATGAACACGTGGCTGTTCTGGACGTCCACGTGTCACAACTGCAAGTCAAGACAGGCTAATCACTCACGTGGCCACCTCTACAGGCGCGGCAATATCAGGATTTGAGCCCAGAGTGTAAGGAACCGTCTTCAGATATTCATCCGAGACAACCAGCTGCGACGACAGTGATGTCAAGGACACAGAGCATGGCTACAACAGCGATCGAGAAGTGTTTGGTTTAGTGACGAGTCGCGTTTTTTGCTTCTGTCGTACAAACGGATAACGTTGTGGGAAACGTTATGCTCGAAACTGCATAGAGGAAGTGGACAGGTTTGGCTGCAGTTGTGTTATAATGTTGGCCGCCCTCTCCCATTTAACGGCACAACGTTACTTCGGCCATTCGTCCTTCCTATTGCGCAGCAAGCAAACACAATTTTCCATCCATTAATTATTTTAGCATTCTCCAGGCCACAAATCACAAATCTAATTGGTTCTGGACTCTCATGGGGTCCATGCAAGATATTGAGAACAGGTGATCTTCACCTTGACGTTCGATTGTTTCATGTGTGCCATGGTGAACTTCGGTCAGTGACCAAGTGTGCCAGATATGAACAATTTTTTTTAATCTGTTGGTTATGTACATAATACATAAATTCTAATTCAACTTAGTATGTAACACGAGATCTGATTGGTCAGTGCTATAAATTTCCGACCGTATAATCAGCATATACGGTCACAATTTGATAACCGATTCACCAAAACCTTTTAATGTATCCTTACACTATTGGGGTAACGATGTTTTCAGAACATTGTCATTTGCTGAAGCCCGAGGTCTTCAATTAACTCCCCTATTTTAGCAAAATGGATGGAATTTGTGCTAAAAGAGTCAAAACAGTATCTTAATTCAATTGAAAGTTTACTTGACCCAACCCTGTTAGATCATAGTACAAGATTTATGACGTCAAAATGGAGCGTGACGTCACAACAGAACTGGACCCCGTTCCTCAAAGCGATCGTAGCTACAATCAGTTGTAAGCCCAACGATCAACTTTACAATTATCGTAAATAACAATTTATTGTCGTTCCTCAAAGCTATTGTAAGGGAATTGTAAATATCGCGATTGTAAATCGTAACTTACAATCGTGATCTTCTGCGCGAAAGATAGCAATACTGCGTTTACATTACTTCCGGTTGGTGAGAGTTGCTTCCCCTTTCAAGCAGATAAAAAATAATCCACCCAAAGGACGTCTTTGTCCACCCTTAGCAAGATATCGCAAAGTAATTAAAACCTTAAGGAATCAACGGGCCATTATAATTTGCAGCGGCCCGGAGGACGGTTTCAGGATAATTCCATCCTTTTTAGCTATTACACTATAATTTATTCTTCATTGTCAGATTTAGTCAGTGTGCACAAAAGAGATTTTGAAGTTTGAAAAGGGAGCTACTTTTTCTGGCGATGGTGTAAGTTCTAGGAGTGATATGATTAACCTGTGACCTTGAGGAACTTTGACCTGGTTTAAATAATGAATTTCTTTCATGAAAAAACAGCGTAAAAGAGTTGAATTAGAGCTAGAATTACGCGTCGCCGATATAACTAAATTTGCGGCTATATCACCACCGGTATACGTCCCATTTATTCTGGCCTGCAGTTAACTCAGAAACGGATGCAACCTGCATGGTTTGATGTGGATTGCCAGAATTTGAAATCGGAAAATACAGTATGCTACATAAAATGAGACGATATATGTGCGCCTTTAATACTGACCAATACTTAGCAGCAAAACGAAATTTCAAACAGTGTTGTAAACTCAAAAAGAAGCTTTATGACAGAAAAGTAGCAGACGAAGTAGAAAACGCTGCCAAGAACGGTAACTGTAAACAGTTTTGGAGGACTCTGAAACGTCAGTTCGACTCGTTTTCAAGTAATACAATAAACACAGGCGAATGGCAGATTTATTTCAGGAACTTAGTGAACCCCGATGTTACGACAGGAGACAAATCCCCAACACTCATGCGAAGACTGTGATGGTTTAGCTGACAGTGATGCCTTTCTAGATATGAAATCAAGGAAGAAGAAATGAAACAGTCAATCCACGGCCTTGTCAACGGTAAATCACCAGGTCAAGATGGTATACCCCCAGAACTGTTCAAAATGACTAGTGATTTTTTCCTCAAATATCTGAAAAAGCTTTTCATTAAAGTACTTGACAGTGGAACTTTCCCAGAAGAATGGAACAATGGAATGGTCATCCCCATCTTCAAATCAGGAGACCCAAAGGATCCAAACAACTATAGGGGTATCTCACTTCTCAACGTTATGGGTAAAATATTTACTGATACTATCGAAAAAAGGTTAAGACGATGGGTTGAAACAAACGAACTTATATCAGAGAGTCAAGCTGGATTCTGTCCCTGATATTCTACAGCAGATCACCTATTCACGCTTCAATCACTATGTTCAAAATATCTTTGTAAACCAAAGGGTAGATTTTATTGTTGTTTTATAGACTTCCGAAAGGCCTTCGATCTTGTGGACAGGAAAAGAATGTTAACTCTACTGCTTCAAAAAGGATGTCATGGAAAAGTCATTACTCTTCTCAAGAACATGTATTCATCGATCAAGGCGTGTGTGATGGTGCAAGGCAACGCAACGGAAATATTCTCAACATCTGCAGGGGTTCGACAAGGCTGCATTCTCAGCCCAGTGTTATTTATATTATATATAAATGAACTTGTAACAGCCATGTATAGATCATGTACAAGTAATATTCGTCACCCAAGATATTGAAGACTTGATGCTCCTACTTTTTGCGGATGACGTTGTGTTATTTTCGTTTACCATCATCGGCTTACTGCTCAGAATCAGGATTACAACTGAAGTTTAATAAATCCAAAATTATAGTTTTTAGAAATGGTGGAAAACTAGCACAGAATGAAAAATGGACTTATAAAGGACTGCCTATCGAAACCGTCACATATTACAAATACCTTGGACTTATCTTCTCATCACGACTGGTATGGACAAACGCATGTGACACTCTCGCACAGCAAGCTAGTAAGGCATGCCTTGCAATAAATAGATTCCTACAGAAAAATAAAGAAATAACGTTTTCAACTGCATGTACGATATTCGACACTAAAGTTTTACCAATACTCCTCTATGAAGCAGAAGTGTGGGGATGCAAGTATTCAGCTTCAATTGAAAAAGTTCAGTCAAACTACTTTAAACACCTTCTCAAAGCTGGAAAATTTGCTTCAAACAAGGCAATTCTTGGCGAGACTGGAAGACATTTGATTTATATATCAACACAAGTAAAGGTCATCAAGTACTGGATAAAAGTTCTACGAATGACAACCGATAGCCACGCACACCAGTGTTACCGAATGCTTAAATCACTCGATGAAAAAGAAACTGGACTTCTGATATTAGAGAAACATTGTTCAAGATAGGATTCTCACATGTATGGATCGCACAGGATGTCGGAGATGTAAATAATTTCTTATCATGTTTAAAACAGAGCCTCAAAGATATATCACACCAAAACTGGCATCATGAGATAAACAGTTCAAGTTTCCTTACCCACTACGTTTCATTCAAGTTTTCACTGGAAAGAGAATCATATATCATGAACATCAGGAACAAACACCTAATAAGAGTCTACTTCAAATTTAGAGCTTCGCTAACAAACTTCAAGATAAACAAGCTAAGAACCAATAAAGATACAACGGCAATCAACCCCATCTGTAATCATAACCATAATGAAGATGGCAACCATGTATTTTTTGTCTGTGACAAGTATAATCAAGCCAG